GTAACTTGTCAAATCCCCGAAGAACATAATTATTGCATATCGATTCGCGTAATTATAATTCAAGTAACGTTTTTAGTTCCCTTTAGTGATAGAAATTATTCCCTTAAACATTATTTACCTAGCTAAACATAGTAACTCCCGAGAACACTAGTTTGATTACGAGTTCTTGTGGGATCAATATTTTTTATTACTACGCGATAGACTGTGCACTTGCAGTTAAGTTGTATTAGACATAGAAAGTCGCGATCACATACCATGTAAGTAATTAACGTTTAAATCAGAGAACCCTAAATCAGAGAGAAATGAACTAACCTTTTGAGATTGGCTCTTGAATCATCTTCAATCCTCAATAAAAAAACCAGGTCTTCTTCTTCAATCGTCTACAATCGTCTTCACTCTTCAATCGTTCCTTCTTCTTCTTCTGGATAATGGTGGGTAATGAACACCAGAATCGTCTTCACTCTTCAATCGTTCCTTCTTCTTCTTCTTCTTCAATCTTCCACTAAGACACTTCACTTCACTTCCACCTCAGCACTCCACTTCACTTCACTCCCACCTCAGCACTCCACATGGACAAACGTGACAATTTTTTCAAACTCAAACTAACGGCAACAGACGGAAGGATAAACGTGACACCATTTTAAAAGTTAAGGGACCAACTTGACACTTTTTAAAGATAAGGGACCAAAGTGGACCCCGAACTAAAGTTAAGCGACCAAAAAGGTTATTTTGCCAATTACAGTAGACATAAAACCAAAAGTTGGGGCTAAGGGGTTTCAAACCTTTGCCCTTTGCCTAAGAGATGGCTTGCTCAAGCAAGTGAGCTATGCTTCTTAGTCGTAAATTGATTAAGGCTTTTCATTTACAGTGTTATCATTAACATAAAACTCTAGACTTGAAAAGTAATGTACATGATTAGCTTCACCATGGGTTTGGTCATGTTTACCATTATGGTTCGTGTTCTAATTTACCACTCTGAATTCGCAATTGAAAGTAAAGTATCACATCATTTGATGAATCTACTTCGTTGCTATTATTGCTTCTAGCCGATTCGTGCTCTTGCATTGCTTTAATTTAACGTCTGTCTATGAATCAATATGTTTTTCTTAGGCAACATTGGATTTGCTATGATGCTTTATGAACATGTACATGCTCCTATGAAATTGTCAAAGCTACTAAGAGAAACAGCTGAATCGATTTACTAGGAGAAGCAACAGAGTCCCACATCGAATATTCAATAATAAAGATTAATATTTATAAATGTTTTTCACACAAATTACTTTAAAATATTGTGTTGTTACTTTAAGAGTGGGACTTTAAAGTTAAATATTATATTTTAAAATTTGCAATATTAGTTTCCAAATTAATTTAATAATTAAAAATCCAACTGGATTCAAAAAATAATAATAGAATACCATATGGACTTTTAAAAAATAATAGAAATTTAAATTAAATAACACATAAACAACAAATATCACTGGGATAAAAATCTGCAAAAATGGATAAGGGCACTAGTTCGGATAATTATCTACAAAAATAAATGAGGATGAACATCTTAGTACTCACTCACTCCATATCCGCACAATATATTTATGTATTTTAATTTATATTAAAAAGTATATTAATGTTAAACTTTTATATGTTTAACATAAGTGTTCGTTTATTTCAACAATAAATTTTTAAAAAAATTTATTGATGTTTTTAAAAACTTAAAATGATATGTTATTTTGTAATTGTTCTATTTATTTTAATAGGAATGCAGGTAATAGGTACAAATATGGGTACTTACAAATTTATAGGACTAGGATACAGGTGCTAACTTTGACGCACAAGCGAGTATGAGTTCGGGTACGAGAATTTTTTCAAATTGCGAATATGAAGATGGATAATATAGTATCATATCAAAATCCTACTCATTGTCATCCCTACTATTATTGTAGGAATGTCGTATATTTAACTTTTTTTTTAATTAAAAAATTAATTTTGACAGACTATAACATAAATATATTTTTAAAGATCAAAACATAATTGAAATTGTAATTAATATATATATATATATATATATATATATATATATATATATATATATATATATATATATTAAAAATAATTTTTATAAAAAATTATTTAAAATAGTTTTAAGTTTACATAATTTTTTGAGATTTTAATATTCAAAATTTTTTCAATTAAATTATAAAATATTTAAAATAACATTTTAAAATTAAATATTTAAATTAAATTTGTATTTAAAATATTTATTAAAAATATAATAAATTGGCCCAATATCTCATTAATAAACTATTTGAATTTATTGAATTCGTGTTTGCCAGCATTATATTTTTTTATTGATGTGACTGCCATGTCGATCGCTAATTGCTATTATTAACCAAGCTGCCACTAAAAGCGTTATTATTATTTTTATTTTTGTTTGGATTGAAACGTTAGAATTTGAACTTGCCTTAGAAAATTTTACCCCATACCCCTACAATTATACCAATATTTCAACACTAAAATTTTTTGGACCAAAATACCCTCGTATGAAAAGTTATAATTTTTTGGTTTGTTTACCGGAAGACTTTTTGGAAGTCTTCCGGTTCACATTTTTTTGGTTTGTTTACCGGAAGACTTTTTGGAAGTCTTTCGGTTTACATTTTTTTTTATTTTTTTTAATTTTTAATTTTTTTTAATATTCAAATTACAAATATATTTATTTTATTTACTCTATTTTAGTTAATTAATATATTTATTTTATTTACTCTATTTATTCTATTTATTTATTTAATAATAATTATTCCATTAATTTGATTTTTTTATTAATTTACTATATTTATTTACTTAATAATAATTACTCCACTAATTTGGTATTGTTTTTTTTAATCAATAAAAATAAAAATTGTTAACTAATTTATATATTGATTGTGTTCTTTAAAGAAGAAAATTAACAATTTAATAATATGTTTATATGAAAAATAAAAATAAATATCATATTTAAATTATAATCCTATCATTTCTTCTATCAAAAAATTTCACCAAAAAGTTATAATATATAACATTTATAATTATTTAAACAATATTTTATGGGGTAAAATATTAACTTTTAAAAATATATTTTATGGGGTAAAATATTAACTTTTAAAAATATATTTTATGGGGTAAAATATACTTTTAAAAATTTTCACCATAAAATATTAACTTTTAAAATTTGTAGGAGTAAAATATTTTATGGGGTAAAATATTAACATTTAAAATATTAAAAACTAATTAAATCATAAATATTTAGCAGAAGAGTGATGAAAACATGTTTTAGCATAAGAGTGTAGTGAAATCATCCAAAGGAAGCTTCCACCCAAAATAATTAATCAGGTAGATTCACTATTCCTTATGTTATTGGTTCGCTAAATATTAGTATTTCTATGTGTGATTTAGGAGCTAGCATCAATCTGATGTCATTGTCCATGATGAGGAAGTTAAAATATGGTGAGTAGAAACCTACTCAAATGATTCTAACATTGGCGGATAGATCAATCACATGCCCATATGGAATTCTTGAAGATGTCTCGGTAAGGGTATATGTTCTATCATTTTCAGTCGACTTTGTGATTCTAGATATGCCTGAGAATTTTGAGACACCACAATTACTTGGAAGGAAATGTTTATGATTTAATTAGTTTTTAATTTTTAAAAGTTAATATTTTATCCCATAAAATATTTTACCCCTACAAATTTTAAAAGTTAATATTTTATGGTGAAAATTTTTAAAAGTATATTTTACCCCATAAAATATATTTTTAAAAGTTAATATTTTACCCCATAAAATATTGTTTAAATAATTATAAATGTTATATATTATAATTTTTTGGTGAAAATTTTTGATAGAAGAAATGATAGGATTATAATTTAAATATGATATTTATTTTTCTTTTTTATATAAACATATTATTAAATTGTTAATTTTCTTCTTTAAAGAACACAATCAATATATAAATTAGTTAACAACTTTTATTTTTATTGATTAAAAAAATAATACCAAATTAGTAGAGTAATTATTATTAAGTAAATAAATTAGAATAAATTAATAAAAAATCAAATTAGTGGAATAATTATTATTAAATAAATAAATAAATAGAATAAATAGAGTAATTAGAAATAATATATTAATTAACTAAAATAGAGTAAATAGAATAAATATATTTGTAATTTGAATATTAAAAAAAATTAAAAAAAAAAAAAAAAAACATGAACCGGAAGACTAGTCTTCCGGTAAACAAATCAAAAAAATGTGAACCGGAAGACTTCCAAAAAGTCTTCCGGTAAACAAATAAAAAAAGTGTAAATCGGAAGACTTCCAAAAAGTCTTCCGGTAAACAAACCAAAAAAATGTGAACCGGAAGACTTCCAAAAAGTCTTCCGGTAAACAAACCAAAAAATTATAACTTTTCATACGAGGATATTTTGATCCAAATTTTTTTTATGTAGGGGTATTGGTATAATTGTAGGGGTATGGGGTAAAATTTCCCTTGCCGTATCATGGCTATTTTGTTACAAAAGCAAAATAAATTTTATTTATATTTATAAGATTCATAGATAATTATTAACCCAAAAAGTTTACTTGCAATTTCTTCAAAACTTAAAGTAATTTAATTTAATCCTGTTACTCTTCCGTTGTTAATTTTGCAACAGTGCAAGAGACATCCACAGATTTAAAAATCTGCAATATTTTACTTATTGATTAAAAAAATAGTTTAATTTAAATAAGAAAAGAAAATTTAAATCTCGAAGCTAATGAAATCATAAAAAAAGTGCTTTTGAAAACGGTTAGTTAATTTTGCTTATACTGAACACGTAACCGAGTAACTCAAAACAAAAATAAAAACTTCCATCTTCTTCTTCTCTTCTCTTTGTATCGCTCTGGTTTTTAGTTTTGCTTATATTGAACACGTAACCGAGATTAAAAAAAAATTCAATCAAATCGAAGCTATTTAGTAATTTATCTCCCAACCATGTCTTCTTCATACAGTAGATACAATTCTCAATCTTACGCTCCATCCGCACCGGAGTTACCTCCACCTTCTAACCACACCCCTCCTAATACCACATACACCCAAACCTCACCTCCCTCTTCAACCTACAACAACTACCCCCACGGTTATTCTTACGGCCAAGCTCCACCGTCTGGTTACCCTCCACTTACTTCCTATGTTTCTTCGTCTTCTGGATATTCGAATTTTCCGCCGGGAACAAACCCTGATGTTATTAGGAGCTTTCAGATGGTAGATAGAGATCGAAGCGGTTTCATCGATGATAGAGAATTGCAACAGGCGCTTTCTTCTTCTTTTCATAATTTTAACCTAAGAACTATTCGTCTTCTTATCTTTCTCTTTAAACATCCCAATGAATCCCTCAGAATTGGTAACCTTTTTTATTTTTCTGAATTTTTTATTTTTTGGGGGAATTTTAGTGATTTCAATTTTTAATTGCTTTTTTCTGTTATAGGGCCAAAGGAATTTACGGAGCTTTGGAGTTGCCTTGGTCACTGGCGAGTAAGCCTCCTTTTAATTATTTGTATATATAATTATTCACTATGTAACACGACACCTCTCAAAAACGGCGTGCCCGTGTCGGACACTTCACCCATACTTGTACATACTTGTAGTTGCACTGACATTTGTGATTAGGCTCAATTTTTTGATTTTTTAAAAATATTACCGGTGTCGCTGTGTTAGTGTCCGGGTCGTGTTTGGGGTGTCCGTGCTTCAATCAACGTGAAGTTAAGTTTTTTGTGAATCAATTAAGTGATTTATGATGAATTAAGCCATATATTTTTCCCTTTAGATGGTCTTATATGTTGAGTTAGGGTTAATCCATTTTGAATATATATATATATATATATATGGTGATGTAAATTCTATTCCAATGCTTATATGGCCAATGCAACTTGGGAAGATTGTTAATTTCTTATGCAGGATTCTAAAAAATTAAATCTAGTGTAGCAAATTTTTTCAGTTCATATACTATTTTTGTAGCCAACTTCCTTCTAACACACTAAAGCATGTTTTTTTTGTTATGTACTGTCTTGTTTGAGTTGTGTCAAGTTTTGTTACTTGGCCAGCTTCCGTCTAAAACACCTGAACATGTTTTGATGTTATGTAATTCATTGTTGTCAAATATTGACCATGGCGGATTGCGGAGGCGGGATTTTACAACCGTCATGGCCAATTTGTGAAAGATGGCAGGTTTTGGCTCTCAGCCAAAACCTGCCAATTTGTGACATCAGAATTTCTTATGCAGGATTCTAAAAAATTAAATCTAGTGTAGCAAATTTTTTCAGTTCATATACTATTTTTGTAGCCAACTTCCTTCTAACACACTAAAGCATGTTTTTTTTGTTATGTACTGTCTTGTTTGAGTTGTGTCAAGTTTTGTTACTTGGCCAGCTTCCGTCTAAAACACCTGAACATGTTTTGATGTTATGTAATTCATTGTTGTCAAATATTGACCATGGCGGATTGCGGAGGCGGGATTTTACAACCGTCATGGCCAATTTGTGAAAGATGGCAGGTTTTGGCTCTCAGCCATGGTCCGTCATCCGCCATCGATAACATTGATGTACTCTCCTTTCTGAGTTGTGCAAAATTTTGTTAAGATGGAATTGATATGTTGTAACACATATATGGACATCAGAATTTAATGATTTATGGATTAATAGCTGCTTTCATCTCATACATGTTGTGTGACAAACCACTAACTCTTCTCTGCTGTGATTAGTAATAAGTATCTCAATGCTTTCTGAACCTATGTGTTGGTGAATTTAACATGAAATTTTGTCGTTCATAATAGAACTTCATCCCACGTGATTCCATCTTAATTTATTTGTACTTTGCTTGTAGGGCATATTTGAGAGATACGACAAAGATAGGAGTGGGAAAATTGATCCATTAGAGCTAAGAGATGCTCTGTATGGTATTGGCTATGCAGTACCTGCCTCGGTTCTACAACTTTTGCTTTCAAAGTACAGTGATGGAAGTAGTAGGAGGGTTGAACTGGGGTTCGACAGTTTTGTAGAGTAAGACATTTTATCTGGATCTCTCAAGTGCTTATTTTATTACACTAATTTTATTAGAAAAAGTAAACTTCAATTTTCTCTTGGAAGATTTTTAAAGCTCTAATTTGGCTCTGAAAAGATTTTATACCACATTGTTCTTAAGATTATGCATGGAATGGAACAGATTGAACAAATTGACATGAAATTATCATTTTCTCTTTTAGATACTTTATAATGGAATAAAATAGTCAAAAGACTTGCTGTATACAGGGACTGACCAAACTAATGTCATGTAACGATAAAAATCATCATTTGAGAATCATTTTGATGCCGCTAATATGTCAAGTGCCAAATTGATCTTATGAAATATTTCAAGAACCAAATTGTGGTTTATTCTATTTGGAAATGTCCTTTATATATCTCACGTTCTGTTGTTGGATTTGTGCAGGTGTGGGATGATTATCAAGGTAAAATTCATCGAGCTTTTGAAGCTAAGGACATGCCTCTGATATCTATATTTCTTCTTTTGTGTTTATTATTCTTCCCTTCCATGCATTCTCCATGATTTTTAGTTCAAATAACTGGTTTGGAACTGAGGTTTTTATCCATTTAACATTTCTGTGCATTGTCTTGATTATATATCGAGTTTTTGGAGCTAAGGACAAGCATCCCATATCTAAATTTCTTCATCTGTATTTCTTATTCTAAACTCCCCTTCCATCGATATATGCCGATTAACCTCATCCATGGTTTTAGTTTGAATGTCTGCTGCATTTGCATGCATTGTCTTGATTCTGTGATATGTGATAGGAAATAAACATTGGGGTCGCATTTTATATCTGTTATATTTTGCAAAAGAAAATAGGAAGGCATAAGCATGTTGCAATATTTATTTGATTCGCTGAGATTTGCATTTTCAGCTAAGTGTCCCCTCCAATTTACATGTTTGCTACATTGCTTATTACTTGTTGCATTTTCAGGGTCTGACTGACAAATTTAAGGTTAAGGACAAGCGTTACTCGGGATCCGCTACACTTTCGTATGACGAATTTATGTCTATGGTCATTCCTTTCCTTGTATCTTATGATTGAGAATTGTGCTCATCTTCAAGTTTTCTTAGTTTTTGGTGCTACATTCAATTGATTGTTTTATGAGTTTGGTTGTGCATAAAATTTTAAGCTGTAAGTTATTAAACACATGTAAGTAAGCAATGTAATAAGTTGGACAGTAGTTAATAGAGCTTAAATGTGGTTATTAGAGATATGCAACAATGCTAGTACAAAGAGTTATGTTTCAACACTGGATTAAGTTGTTTGGATAACACTATTTTACAGTTCTGTAATGAACTGCATCTATAATTTGAATGTGTATCTCATTGGATAGTTTATGTTGCAAAAAAGGTTGCTTTGTTGTACACTCATTAATCTACCCTTATTCTTTAAATATTCAATGATGCTATATGTTGCAAAAGACACTACCTTGTATGATTTTTGACGTGTTTGTTTATTTTAGAAAATCAAGAGATGATTGTTCGAGAGTAGATATGCGATGACAATGCCATTGTTGGCATGTTGACAATTATCATATAAAAATACTCTTGAATTTTTTCTGTTTTGCTCTTGATTTAGATGCAGAGGAAAGAAAGCAATTTTTCTTTTCCAATTTTGATGAATCTTTCTTCAATGGAAGACTTGATTGTCTTAATTAGAATCATCTACAGTATGTTAAGAACTTATTATTTATTGATATTTTCCAGAAGAGTTCATAGTTAATTTTTTTTATGGTTGCAATATTAGGATTTTCATCTTAATCGACAATGGGATTGAAATCAAAACCCATGCCCCAAAATCATAATCATAATACAATAAGCAATAGAAATTTCATCTTCATCCCTTAAGTAATTATGATATTGCTCTCATACGATATTTGCTTCAATTGCCTGTCTTATATATAGAAGACTAGTTGACCTGCAATAGCAGTTTTGACAATACTTAAGTTGAGATGCGTTGTTCTTGAGCTTAGGCCTAATACTTACAAATAAGTACTTTTCTTATCAGGATCTGAGGTCCAGTCTGCATCACAATAAAGTTGAATTGAAGGTGAAACAAAAGTTGAATGAGGAGATAGAAGAAGACCATGTCCAATTATGTCTTTGAGGTATCTAAAGATCCTCTTGAATGCTACCGAATGAGCCTCAAGAGGACGAGACATAAATTTGCATACTTTGTTGACAAAATATGCAATATCAAGCCTAGTAATGGTGGCATATTGCAACCATGGCCAAGACCAAGATTGAGATCTATCAATCTGATACCACGATATAACTGATAGGTAGGGTAGAGAGAGATATTTTTAGATCTGACTAATTTTTGAAACTTTGAATTGTTAGTTACAACCTGCTACAACTATATGCTTTATATGTAGTAAACTAGCTGACTTGTAGTAACAGGTTTTGACAATACTCAAGCTGATGTGTCAATCTTGAGCCTAGGCCTAATACATACTCTAGTACATATTGAATAACAATTATAGTAAATAATTATGTAATTATTTTTTTATATAAATCTTATAAGACATTAATAAACTTACAAATTTGTACCGATTCAGTTTAGATGCATCAATAAAGAGTATTGGTACGAAAATGTTTAATTAGCATTTATATAATACTACTTCCACCCTTAAATATAAGATTCCATAGAAGAAATCATGGAAATTAAGAAAGTTAATTAGAGTAATAACTTTGACTATTTATATACTTTTACGAAGGTCCGAAAAAAGAATCATTTGATGGTTATATAATAGTATTTAGTGCAAATTATAAAAAAAGATGCAACTTTACTATGTGTATTAAAATTTGAAGATGATCTTATAAAAAGACACAAAAAAAAAACTCAAAAGGGTTTTATGTTTAGAAACAAATGTGGTAATGTTTTTTCACAATTGGCAGAGTGACACCTTGCCGTAATTAACTAAATTGATAATATAAATGAGTTAAACATGACACTAAACTTATCAAAAACTTGGAACTCTCGTTGGCCTCCTTACTTGATAATCTACGCTCTTCTAGAATAATACAGGCAACTCTTTCTCTTCAGAAAGCGTCAGTTCTTCCCTATGGAGCGCTATTTTTGACATCACGTCCACGACATTTACGTCTTATGCATTTGGATATTGAATATGGGCCACACCCATAATCTCTTTTTTTTGCCTCAAGTTGTCTTATATCACCTTCGAGTCGTCTCTTAATCACCTTGAACAACTCCAACACACCCGTTGAGCAGTTGATATTTCATACATAGGTACAACATGAATAGTGTCATTTTTGAGAGATTGAAGGCAAGATGATCTATGATCATATTATACGAGTAAGTGGGCGTCTATCAAAAGGTACCTTACTTTGATCATTTTCGCTCTCCTCTAGTTCGAACATGGTTTTATGTAACCCTTCGCATGCACTCGTTCTCCTGAAAAACCAACTAGTGAACCTTGGAAAGCTTTGAGATCATATGGATCTAGACGAGACCTTTCAAAGATTTTCTAATAGAAAATGTCTATAGAGCTTCCATGGTCGATTAACACACGCTTGGTTTCCCAATCGTCGTACCTTAAGGTTATGACTATGGAATCATTATCATGGAGATGGATTCAAGTAACATTCATCCCTGAGAAGGTGAACTGAGGCTCTGGAGTTTCCTTCGTGTCTGGATCAAGACTGGTAGGTGAACTTGCTACTGTTATGATAACACGCATATCTGCTATGAACATAGCTAATCTTTCCGCCTCCGGCAATCCCTCCTGCTATAGTGTTGCGCAGGTGACACACAAGTTTGTCTTTATTTCCGCTGCTTGGATTTTTCCCCCTTTTGGATCTAGGGCTCCCAACAAGATCCCACCCTTGAGATCTAGAACCACTCGGTGACTGGTGGGAGCTGCCTCGAACATACTTCTTTAGATGATTTTTTTGGATGAGACGTTCACTCTCCTTCTTGAGATGGTACTAATCTTCTGTGTGGTGGACCCTGACCTTATGAAATTTACACCACCTACTGAGCCAAGGTCCCACAATGTCTAACTTGGGGGCTGGCAGATGAGGTATATCATGTGTATAGAGGACTTCGTGCCATATCTGTTGACAGAAAGTGTTCAGGGGTGTAAACTTCTCTGTAGGCCTCTCGTTTTGCTTGAAGGTCTCCTCATCCATAAAAGGCGAGTTATAATGGCTTCTACGTTGTTGTTGTTAAGAGTTAGGGTTGTTAGACGTTTGCTCCTTAACGCCTCTTGTTTTTGTTTCTCCTAGTTGCTCTCATCGCCCTTTATGTAACATTCAACGTGTCACTACCTCCTCCATGGAAGTGGAAAACCTCTGGATGAGTGATCATTAAAATATACAATCCTCAATCTATTTTGGAAGGCTCACACAAACATCTCCTGGCTCAGGTGAATGACCTTGTTAGTTGCCTCATTGAACCAAATGAGATACTCCCTTAAGGGTTCTGAAGGGCCTTGGAGAATTTTGAAAAGGCTACGGTTGACATCTTCCTGTGTCTGCTCACCGAGAATTAGTGGACCAACTTCTTTACAAGGTCGTGATAGCTAGTGATTGATAATCGCAGTAGGCTCATACCACCTCGCGCAACATTCCTGAAGGTGTTGGAGAGGAACTTGCACTTAAAAAAGTCTAAGGCTCCGATGATTTCCATCTGCGTATTAATAGAGACGACATGTTCACAAAGGTCGCTTCTTCCATCAAATTTTGCGAGTAAAGGTGGCTTGAAACATTCTTGTATGCTCCCCCCCTAATCTCGTTAGACAGAGGTTAGGGGTCCACAACATGGGAACATGGGAAGACACGGTTCTTCCTCGGGGGGGGGGGGGGGGGGGGGGGTTTCTTCGTGACTCATTCCTACATTCAACTAGTGATTGGGCACCTCATTAGCCACAAACGGTGACTGAATAAGTCATCTCAAAGAGATCAAACCTAATTGAACGATTTATCGCCACATTATTGGGCATCCTCTTGGCCCATTTTGGGTGGCCTATCACCATGTAGTGGAAGCTCTCCTAGAGTTGAGGCAATTGACTTATATCGTATACTCATGGACCTTCCTTCCTAAAACCCAATAAAATTATTTCAATACACTATTATTATAATTCAATGATCAAATTTTGATTACATTGACTATAGATGATTTGAAATAAGGCAATGTTTAGACAATTTAAAACAAATAAAGCCCTAAAGCAATGTATTGACAATTTAAAACAAATAAAAAACACAAAATAGAAATGAATGAAACATATCATAGCGAAATACAAAAGAGTGGAACAGAATAAAGCAAAATAAAGATATTGTTTCATTGCTTAAATATTTTGTGATAAAATATAATAATTAAAATATTTATAAGATAAAAGTAAGTGATAAAATAAAATATAATATATTTTATCTTGTTCCCCTCTATTCCATCATCTTTTAATCAATCAAAAGATAATACATAATCTTATTTTATTTCATCTTATTTTATAAAAGATAATCTAAAGTGAAATCTTAATATTCATTATTGAAACTATTATCATAACTTAATCTTAACTCAAGGTCTAAGGCTCCACAAAGCCACCTATTGATGACAAGTGACACCCACATTAAGTTTTGAGCAATGTGCAATCATTCAAATAGCTGCCCAAGTTTGGTAGAATTTCATTTTCAAACTTGAGTGGTTCATTAAATATTCCTTGATATTATTCGTGCATAAGCCCAAAACAGTTGTAGGTGAAGAGGTCCCCCATAACATCATTGCAAGCTAAGAGTGCACAAAAAATAAAATAATCAAAAGTGTCCTCTTTTGAGTTTCATAGTATATCTTCATTGTAGCCATTTCATCATGTATTTGCAATCAAAACGTAAGCAAAAATATTTTATCTGCATATACAACATTATCCTTATTTTCTTTCTGTCTAAATTAAAATGAAATTCTATTTTCTATATAAACTTTCTATCAAAAACTAAATACAAAACTCATATTACACATCTAATTTCTCTATAAATAAATAAACAAAAATTCTAGAATCTACCTTTAATTAATGCTAAACTGTGAAA